TTGACGAGAAGACTGAGTAACTGCTTTCGAAACGCAGGTTTCTGTACCTGTGGGGGGAATCTGGCTTCGGAAATAAACACAGTTTGCGGAAAGCTCGTGTTACGCTTTCATTTGCTGCTGCTCTCGTCCCGTACAAGAGACGTAGCGTCCTCGTTAAGCCTTATTGGACTCGATTTGCTCGATTCGGGGCCGCCATATTGAGATGCAAGCGACGGAGGAACTTTGCTCCCCTGCTTCAGGGACGAAGGTTTCTCCCTTTCTAAAGGAACATAGGTTACAAGACCGTTCCTCCCGTAAGGGAGGACTATCCGTACCCTTTTTTCTAAGAGTGTACGTGCAGACGTTGAGCCGTATCTTTGCTTCTAAAGGGTGTAATCCAATATTTCTCAGTGTTCTTCTTATGACGCTTCCCATGTTCATTACCGCCGAGGCTCGCCCTTTTGTCGCTCATTGGTAGAAAACAGAAAGGACTCACTATTTTTAAGAAAGGAGCAACTGCAGCAATACAGGAATGACGGAAAAAAGTTTATATCGAAAACAAACACCCTCCTCTGGTCCTCCTTTCTTCTTTCGTTATCACAGCTCGGCGCCACCGCCGTAAATACAGCTAAGTGATTCATTCGAGTTCAATGTTCAGTGAACGCGTCTCGCTTCTCTCTTTATTTCTCTTTCTTTTTTTCTTTTTTTTTTTTTCTTTTTTCGACTTTCCACAATTTGATAAGAAACGCCGACCGGCGCCACTGCGTTGCCGCGTTCAAGATAAATTACTGTGCCTCGCTGTTTCGTTCTTGAGGCTGAGCCCAGCTTCGCCTTCCCTTTGCAACTCTAGCTAGCCACCTGCGCCGTCCCTCTTCTGCCAGGGGCGGTGAGTGCGATGCACTGACCTTGTTAGCCGCGTGCGTGTTCATGCTGCCGGTGCCGGGGAAAAGACAAGCGTTCATCTTGTAAAACATCTTATCTGCCTTCGTTCACGTAACAATAGACTAGAAAGCTGTCTGAATCAATAAAAAGATCAGGGCACCAGCTGTCATCGAAACAAGTGAGAAAGACACGCATACTGCCGCTTAAAAAAGGAAGTTGCGCTTTGATTTCAACAACCTGTGTGCTAAACTTCTTATTTTCGAGGCAGTTAGTGTTACAGGTAAGCAGGCGAAGTCCTGCTCTCTTCGCGCTGGGCAGGGTTTGTCACACTCAAAATGGATTATGGTGTATGCCTAGACCGTCCCATACAAAGATATCCTATGATTGGCTATAGAAAATCCTTTGTATGGTCGGCTACAGAAAATTGGCCCAAACAGCAATAGCTCTTAGAGCGCAGCTCTTAGGCACCCGTTTCCGACTCATGCGGCGTCGGCGTCGGCGTCGCCGTCGGCGTAACCGCGCGGTGCATTACGGGTAAATTCGCCTGCTAAATTTAGCGGAATGCTTTCCCCGCTAAATTTAGCGGGAAAATTTTCCCGCTAAATCTAGCGGTAAAAATTTCCCCGCTGAATCTAGCAGAAAAGTTTCCCCACTCAATTTAGCGGAAAAGTTTCTGCGCTAAATCTAGCAGAAAAATGTCCCCGCTAAATCGAGCGAAAAATTTTCCCCGCTAAATTTAGCGGAAAATTTCTCCGCTAAATTTAGCAGAAAAAGTTGCCTGCCAAATCTAGCGGAAAAACTTCGCCGCTAAATTTAGCGGGAAAATTTCTACGCTAGATCTAGCGAAAACATGTCTCCGCTAACTCTAGCGAAAAACTTTTACCGCTAAATATAGCACAAAAAATGTTTCCGCTATATCTAGCAGAAACATTTCCCCGCTAAATCTAGCGAAAAAATTCCCAACGAAACTTAGCGAAAAACTTCCCCGCTAGATCTAGTGGTAAATTTACCCGCTAAATTTAGCAGAAAAACATCCCCGCTAAATCTAGCGGAAATATTTCCCTGCTAAATTTAGCAGAAAATTGTCCACGCTAAATCTAGCGAAAAACTTCCCCGCTAAATTTCGCAGAAAAATGTCCCGCTAAATCTAGCGAAAAAATTTCCCTGCTAAATCTAGCGGAATAATTTACCCACTTAGCGAAAGAGTTTCCCCTAAATGGGAGGTGAGCAGGAGAGGAGGAGGGCATAGCCTCCTCTCCGTACCTTCCCCTCCTCCTCCCCTCAAGAGCGGTGCTCTAATTCGGCGTTACAGGGAGTTGCAAACGGCTTTCATTTTTTTCTGTGGCTCTTTTAGTTTTTTTATGGTCTCGACTCTCGCCTATGGGCGTCTTTAGCTTTTCCTATGGCTTTATTTCTGGTTGGCTATAAAAGTCTTCAGCTTTTTCTATGGCTAACTAAATAATTTTTATGGCTCTCAGCGCGCTATAGACGTCTATAGCGTCCTTTGGTTTTTTTATCCTGCAGGCTATAGCTGTCCATACTTTTCCTTTGGCTTCGTTAGCCGTCTATTCTTTTTGGTATGGTTCTCTAACGAACCTTTCATGGCTCACTGTATGGTTCCCTTTAGTCGGCATTCTAAAGCTCCCTGCATATTTCTTCAGTTTCTTTAACCGTTTATTGTTTTTGTATGGTCTTGTATGGCTCATCCTAAGGTTCTCTTAGCTAGCTACACCTTTTCCCTAGGCCTCTTTTCTTACCAATAGTTCTCTGTAAGGTAGGATTCTGTACCTGTTTTGAAAACCTGTGATGATTCGCCTTTCTATAATACACTATATAAGAAACGTCCAGTTAACGAAAACATAAACAGAAGTACTATTTTGTCACCTTTATTTGAGGGACTGATTAAAGGATAAAAAGACCTAATCGTAAGGTTTATCCTTGTTTGACTCTTTACTCAGTAACGAGGACAATGACGTCCTCACTGGGCCTTCTTTCACAGCTTGAACTTCTGGCAGGGGTACTCTTCGACAATTCCCCGTTAAATTTAGAGAGGAATTGAATTGCTGTTGAGGTCACTTGACATCAACATTCAAGCTAAATCTAGAGAAACTCAATTTGTTCATAGGTGACGTCCAGCAAGTATGTGATGTCATTGTTGCCGCTAGATTTATCGGGGAAACTTAATTGGTGTTGAGCTCACGTGACGTCAATTTTCCCGCTAGATCTAGCGGGGAAACTGAATTTTTTCACAGGTTGCGTGACACCGAGTCATGTGACGTAATTTTTTCTCCTAATATAGAGGCGAACGTAAATTACTGTTGAGGTCACGTGACGTCAATTTTCCCGCTAAATTTAGTGGAGAATTGAATTGGTGCTGAGGTCATGTAACGTCAATTTCTCCGCTAAATTTAGCGCGATTACGCCGACGACGACGGTGACTCCAACGCCGCGAAACCCGGAAACGGGCGCCTAAGAGCTGCGCTCTAAACTGCGACATTGCGAGACTATGAGTATTAATTATAAATCAATAAATCATAGAATTATACCTATTTTTGATAATGCATTGGTTTTAACAACGTTAACGGACCGATGTTTCTAGTCACCCAAAGGTACCTTCATTTCTCGCAGCATTTGACAGTGTACATTTACTACCTTTTAGTTCGCATAACAGTATAAAGTATTTATAAAATAGTCGATAAAATTACTTGTCTTGATGTTTCTAATAAACTCGAGGAGCACAGAATATGTGGTGCGTGCATTACTCGCGCGTAATGTTGTTTTTTTTTTGTTTTTTTTTTTTGTGTGTGTTTAGTTGCCGTGGGAGTTTGGGGGGTTTCGGATGCGCTGCACAAACGACGAACTCATGTACCCTTCGGTTTATCAAAATTGTCAAGAAGGTTTAAATTTATTCTTGAGGGTAGTGTGCGAATAATCTGCTTTAATGCGTTTCAATGGGTTCTGCTTCTTCTGAGGTTGGCGTGTCGTGCTTTTTCCTATTCATATTCTTGAACTGCAATAAGCCGCCTGTGGTATCTCACGGGAGCCTGCGTTAGCTGACGCGCGAAGCAATGGCATCGGGCTGCGGATCACACAGACAGGGGTTAGATTCATGCCGAGCCGCGTCGTAAATATCGCTTGTTACAAATAATTACGCATAATTATGATTGCGTACGGGTAATTCATGTATAACTAAGTATGCCCTCTGATTGGATGATTACGCGTTGACTGATATAACTTATGTATTCTTTGATTTTTCTTCGCCTGTGTGTAACGCTTTGTCTTCGCATTCAAGCGTGACACTTGAAACGGGACACAGAAAAAGCAGTACTTAAACACAATCTATGTTAAAACGCAACAGACTTTTTTGAAACAGAAATAGCTAAATGATATGGAAAGCGTGTGTTCCCCGCATCCCTATCTAGGCCAAGCAGAGGCATGCTACCCGCGCTACCCGGTTACAAGAGAAGGCGGTATGCCCTTGTGGACAGTTCTCCCTCGCCTTTCTCGGGTGACCTGCCACTAGCACACCCTTCGGTAATACTCGTATCTGGAAGCGTCCGCCCCTCCGGGGAGCGAACCTACTATACTCCGTTCACCCATGAGCGGAGACAGAAGTGGGAGCTACGTGCCCGCCAGACAAATCAGCCGCCCCCCTTCCGTCACTTAGCACGACTGTACACAGGTGCGTATGAGCGGGAGCGTGATCACGTTGCGGAAGAGAGACGTATGACTGATACAACGAACACTTAGCTTCTACCGAAGTCTCAGCTTAGGGCTGAACGAAGTAGACCGTCAACCACGGGCACCTCCATTTCCCGCAGCGTATATAAGCCGGCCCAAAATAACGGCCAGGCCCTCGGTGAGGGAGGGCCTTGCTCCACGGAGCTCTGTTTGAGGCGTTTCCCCTTTCCGAGAATCTGCCCTTTGCTTCAGCGCGGGGTCCGACCGATGATCTTCTCACATTGAGGCAGCGCCGATACTTCGGAATTTATCGAGGGCAAAGAGTGTTGAAATTTTGAGTCATTAAACACATCCTTTTACGGACACACAGACATACTGTGTTTCTACGTGGTACCCCCTCCCCCAAAGGGGAAACTTACTATGCTACCACATTGTTTTGCTTCTGCTCTATATTTCAGTCGTTTCAAGTTGTCGAAGATGCGCTCTACAAAAAATACGGACGCTTGTTTGGGTAAGTTTGGTACAGACGTTTATGCTTTCTTGTCATATTTAATTTGATTCGTCAAGCACATGTTACTAATATTTCAGAGTTTTTGAAGACGGCAAACCAGTTCTTTATGTAGCTGAGCCTGAGCTGCTCAAGTCCATATTTGTCAAGGACTTTGCGCTTAGCCAAAGAGTTGTAAGTCAATCCTTTGTACCATCTTTTTAGGTTATGAAAATGTTGGGGGTGACATGAGATCAAAAAAACGCTTACCACAACCTTCATTTATATTAGAGAAACGGCTTATAAGGATTCCTAAAGTGTGTCCCAGATTAAACGTTTAAACAAATTTGAGTATACAATTATCACTAATAATTACTGTGAGGAAAGAACAATTTTAGAATTCATCGCCTCTAAATTAATGGAGAGCTATGCGTGAAGTGCCGCACCGCCCGAAACCTCTACAGACTCAAATGCGATGTAGACATTACAGCCCTCCAAAGACGGAAACACAAAGACGCAACCTAACAGAAAATCAATCAGTCGATGGATAGAGACAATCATTTCCAAAAATGAGATAGAGGTTGATTCTGGCGTATTTTTATCCCGTGATTTTGATTATCACGTTCATTTTCCTCGAAGGTGTAAGGAAATGAAAGAAAACACACCCAAAAAACTCCTACCAGTCGTTACGCCATATGCCAGGACCTTTCGGCCGCCAAGCGCATGTCGTTCCTGTGGGCAGCGCCATGCAATTGCAAGCTTGCAAGGTATATCCCCCCCACAGGCACCAGTAGTGACATCGTTTTCTGACCTTTTTTAATGCGAAAGCATTGACTGTCTCATGGAGCGAGCCGCGCCAAACGGCACCTTAAATCCTTTCTCCAACGGAAGCCAGCTCCCAGCTATGAACCCACGCGAAAAGCTAGCCAACGGCTCTTAAACTGCCCCTTCCCAAAGGAGCAGTTTTCGGCGTCGGTACCATTGGCTGGCGTGCGTCGACGAGGCTCCCACCGGCCGCTGCGCGTCAGTTGCAACGACCGCTCACCCCATGGCGCTGCGTGTCCGTCAGCGCGCCGTTAACATGGAGCATCCAAGGTCAGCGCGCCCAGGAGAGCGCGGGCGCTGACCGGCCACGAAAAGTACGCTGCAGATGAAATAAGAGAGCCGACGAACGGCTTGCGTGCTTTCGCATTCACAATTCATAGGAAGTGTTTAGGTGAGTCTCGAGCCTTTTTTAATATAGTAAGAGCGGGTGGCTTTCATTAGGGAGTTTTCGTAGATCGTTTTCACCGCCCCGCAACGCTCTCGGTAGACCCGCTACGATACCCGGAACTCTGTAGTCAAGGCTATCGGCGCGCATGCGTCGCAGCGGCTTCTTCGTTGCGGAGGGCTTAACGGAGGGGGAAACCCGGTCTACGAGAACTTCCTATAGACGCTGAAGATGCACGAGAGCGGAGATTCCGAAAATTCCAGATACGACCTCACGCTCCAAGAAAAAGGGGCTATACAGCGGTATTTTGCAAATATTTTTCGGGAGCCTCCGTACAACAACTTGAAAAATAACCTCAATTTTGGTGACCCTGGAGGCTAAATGAAGACAATTTGAGTGTTTTCCCTCAAATATAGAACCACTTCAGAATCTCCCTAAAAACATAAAGCTCGATCATATACGTAACATTATGAATTCATATATACCCCTATATGTTGGCCAACTGAATTTAATTTTGTAGATCTACGCACAGCGTGTAAGTCATTTTCGTACCTCTGGAAAATGCATAGTCTTCCTCTATAACTTTTTGGGTGCAAAGCATTTTACACGTATGATAGAAAATTCCCTCAATGTACATAGATTCCACTCTAATTAAAGTGGGCTCTGGGCTAGCGAACATATAAACAAACATACACCGTTTAGTAGTACTGCCATGACATAAACCCTCAATTTCTGCCCTTTCGCTGGTAGGATTTTCCATTCTATAGAAACAAAATCATGCTTCTCCCTGTAACAGTTTCGAAAGATGGAATTTTCTAATGGATGAAGTGGGTGAGTTTTACACATTACACGGCAGTGCAGTTTTGTCATAATTTAAGCATTCAAAAATAAAGCTTTGGCAGATCAACACGACACTTATTAATAGCAGCTGCGTACGTTCATAACATATTCGAATGTGTAGAAGCATGTTATTACAAAGTTCTCACTCTGAGTGTGCGGTGGTACCTTTGAATTGCATATCGTGTAGAGATGTTATAACGGTTATTGATGTTATATTGATAAGTTAATTCTGTACCTTGAAACATTACTGCAACTCTTCAAAGTATAAATTACCATTGAATAATTTCGTAGAGTACGAAATTCGACGACCAATACTTGGACAACATGATGACAGTGGTGCCTCCCAAGGAATGGAAGAAAATTCGTTCTGCGACAACCCCGGCTTTTACGACAGGAAAACTAAGAAAGGTAATGACCGTGGCCCTTTTGCAATGAGGAATTAAAGAAACCTGCGCCAGGGGACAACTTTTTATTATTGTTTACAATAACTGAACAAAAATGTTCACGGTTTATAAAGCTAGATTTTTTAAAATACAAATAAGGTGCTAGTAGTGATATAGCTTGTACTTTATGTGCTGGATGCAATGCACACGCCCGGAAATAAACATGTTACTGCGCATGCAATGGGTTTAGCAACATACTTAAAAAAGTCTAGTAAAATAAGTTATTTCGCTCCTTTTAAACCCCTGAGTGCAACGAACAACAAATTATATCGTGTGTGTTTAAAGTAATTGACAATAGCACAGATGCCATCTCAAAAGGCATTGGTAACAAATCAGTCTTAATTTTTTGTGTTTTTTTTTTATAAGTATACAATTATACATGCCAACCGAAGCTTGATTCAACATATCCTAAAGTATAGGCATGCCAAATTCGGTTGTCATCAGAAAATAATAAGAACAAGAATTATTTGGAGCGAATTGTGAAGATGCCCCAAAATTACAGATAGAGAGAAACACGCTCAAATGTTATCATTGATGTGAAGCGACGCTCTTTCGAGGCGGGAAAAAAAGTTTCTTGTTGATGTTTTTTGTGCGAAATCGAAGCTGCTGAAGAATGCAATGAAGTAAAAATGGCAAGGCCTAGATCTTAACATAAATGTAATGGCGGGCGACTTCACAATTTGAAGAATCGACCAAACAGAAATTGCTAAAATCTATGATGCTCTGGGTTGCCGGAAGTTCTTCAAATGCGTATTTGATAACTTTCGCGATCATAATCGTTAGTTATAGTTTTTGTGAACAAAAAATCAAGATTCAAAGAACACCATTAAACCTGAATTTATTTTTCTTTGTGGAATATTGCGCTTTTTGATTCGCATTTCCCCTCAAATGTATACAGGAAGCAAAACAATAAAAAAATAACCGTTCAATCAAGTTCAGGCCCGTGTCAACAAATTACCTTTCTCCTTTGTTCATTCTTCAAACTTTTTGCTTACTTCAGATGCACGACCTAATGGAACAAAGTGCCCAACACTTGTCTTGCAAGCTGAAAAACGCAGCAGAAAAAGAACTTGACGTTGACATGAAACGGTAGGTGTGTAGTTGTGTGTAATTTGAAAGAAGTCCTGGGATGACAATCTAAAATTCTAGCCGAGTCAATTGTCAAATGGGCCATACTCTCAGAAATAAATATGGAGTATCGTATTTACACACAGTATCCCCTATATAACACGCAAAAACCTACGATGCGACGTTCAATACCCTGGAGTCGAATCCGCAATACCAACTTTCACGAGCGGCTTGATAGTCGAGTGATACAACTTATTGGAATAACTAATGCAAGTGTCAAAGACTGCAGAAAACCACTTGAGGTTTTGTTAACCGAGCAGCAAAAATCTGAGTGCATTTTTTGTATGTGTCTATTAGCTACCTAAAGAAGCTCAAAAAAGACAGGGAAGAGGAGTAGACAGACAAGAGCGCTCTTGTCTGTCTACTTCCTCGTCCTTGTATTATTCGCACTTCTTTAGGTGATCATGAACCAACTGGCCCAAATTGCTACCTTAGCACATTAGCTATTTTTTTTAATTATATCGCATATCTATCAAGCCGCTCGTAAGGGTTGGTGATGTCAGTTCGACGTCAGTGGACTAAAAAACATCCAAAAGTAGTTTTTGGGTGTTATATATGAGACAAGGGGTGTTAAGTACTACACCTCCTCTTTCTGAGAGTGCACTTGTAAAGCTCACACTAATGTTACTTCAAAAGATTGATCCTCTCAGTTGGCCACCTCGGAGTAGCGCTGTGCCCGATGCCAGGGTTTAGGAACTTTCTCATCCATTGCCTATTCCGCTCCAATGGCGTCAAGCTCACTATGGTAAACACAACGAGTGAGCAAATAATGTTTAACGCTGTCAAAAGGGAAAGCTTGCGCAGGTATAGAGCTTTTTAACTGAGGCGTTATAAGCAGGAAGGGCATGCTTTGAAAAGCACTTTCAAATAATCAACCATTTCCAAAATTGCGCATCGCACATTTAATTCATGCCATTTTTGTAAAATGTACAACGATATACCTGCCTTCTGAGCTAGTATTTGATTATTGCCTTCTTTACTTTATTTCTTTATCATAAAGACATTATAGATACACATTTTTAGCTCCAAAAGCACCTTGAAACAAACACTTATAACACAGACATGATACCGTCCAGCTATTAAGTACGTCATTATCACCGTTATTATGTCAGAGTTCAGATCAGGCGAGATTTTCGCAAGAAGTCTCCAGAACGAGGTATCAGCATTGGCTACTTCTGGCTTGTGTGCCAATTTTGCCATGACCCCACGCACCATTCATGCGAGTGCTCATGAGGTTGTTTTACTTAGCATCAAAATAGTTATTGCAGGTCCTTATCGTGAGAAGTCTATTTTAGTTCTTTGATCAGCTTTCTTGTCTAACCACGCCAAAGAATCCATAAAGATCTGGGTCTATGTTAGAATAGTGCCGTTTAAATGTTATTTTGAGTTGTGCGTCAATATTTAATATTACGCTAAAAGGCACGATCACGACACCAGGAACACTGCGGACACTTCTGTGTCAAGATCATACTTTGCACACATTTTTGCTGCAGATATAATTGTCATGAGTTGCAGCTGGCACAAACACCGTTCATGACCCAATGTGTCTTACTTTTCGAACTTAATGAATGGCAAAAGTTTTGTTAGCTCACTGGGCCATTTCGCAGAAGGGGAACAGGCAACATAAAGTCGACGGTGTGCCAAGGCTTGAGAGATAATTTTCTTTGACGTAAAAATTCATTCCGGTGTTCCTTCGTTCGCTATTCATGTGCGCCACCGGTGTGCGCACTGAAGTGTGTCGAAGTACACCTCTGTCTGCCGTCAACGTCTGTGTCCTGTGGCGTTCTCACAGCTTTGTTTGTTCTCCTCATTTTTCTGGTTTTGTGTGCATTTAACCGATGGTCACTGTGCGCGTTCTAACTTCCATGCGTTTAATTCAGCGACAACGCGCTTGGACGGCATTTTGCAGACACATATCTTTGAAAAACTTCGTAGTGGCAACGAGCCAAACGTTCTGGTGCGAAAACCTAGGGACTGCTAGAAAACTGAGCATGAAGCACGAAGACGTACCAAGGAAGCAGCAAAACTAAATGAACGATTACCTTGTGCATAACACCAGCACAATCACATGCTAGATTTACGACCCTGCACTCGTTCCCGTTTTTAATCATAAAATAAGAAAGTAGCTAAGTCTTGTTTACATTCACACGCTATACGTGGTGCAACCTGCAGAACTATACATCCGATGAAAAAAAAATTCAATTGGACATCGTTCGTCATAAACGCCACTAGCGAAGAGCTTTGCAGGGTGAATTTATCGCCTGAGTGCTATGATCAATCTTTATCATGGACACTTCAACTTCAAACATATGTATACATTGCGGAGCTCAGGCGCCACAATCTCGCTTCGGTGGGTACTTTGTGAAATAATACAAAATAATGCACGTCATTTGTCAGAAACTGGTCGCCTCGGAACACCGAGTCTCCACGTTTGTTGATGGGAATGGCAGACTCGTCAAAGTCCCTCGGCACGACAACCGGTCAATATTGTTTTATTTATTAATGGGTTAGCATTAGCACCCACATAACAAGAAAAAGCCGACGGCGTCCATCTGCGGACAATACAGTGGAAACGGAAGCGTGCCGCGTAGAGAGGAGGTGAGTAGCGAAGAACAAAGGCGAGAGGGAGACGACGTCTTTGGGCGGAAGCCAATGCGCGCGCGGATGCTGGGGCAAGTCTGAACTTGCAGCAGCGTCAGGCAGCGGATGCCGCTGCTATGCCTGGATTGCGGGAGAACGAGACAGGAGCGGAAGCAGCGTGTGGCTCGGCTGGCCGAAATGCGGCGCCAGAAGCGGCAGGCCTACGCGGGTCTACGTGTGACAGCGGCCCTAAAACGTTACAGGAAGATCAATTGGTGAATCCTCAGAGAATGCATTAGGATGACCCTTGGGAAACTCCAAACATGTCCCCCTCTGGGAGACGTTAACAGTGACCCGCAACGAATCCAAAAAGAGGTGCCAAAAATAGAGGAAGCAAAAGATAAAGTAAAAAAAAAGCCAAAACAGAAAAGTGAAGGGGTCAGCGTTAGCGCATCCCAAACAGGAACGTGTCAGGCGTTTCTCAAGGGTCATGCTAACATATTTCCTAAAGATCCACCCAATGGATCTTCCTTAATACATTTTTTTTAACTTTCCATGGATACGTATAACGCTCAGTTCAACACTAATTCGGATGTATCCAAGCTATACTGCAGATTTGTTTGTTCTCGATTCGTCCATGGTGAAACAATATACATGCACCTATTTCGAATGACGGCTTTGTGGTCGAAGTGGTAGTCGAAATGCGATCCCTCTTTTCATGTAGCATTCTTTCGTGAAAATTGAATACCTCTATATAGTGCACTAGGATAGAACAAATTGGCTACGGAGACCTGGTTGCTATGAAAGTATCTGAAGCTGTGCTTCTGGAAAAGCAGGAGTTGCTCTGGTTAATTCGTATGTGAATCCCTCATGTCAATGCTGCGATGCCATATTTTCCTATGGGCCTGTGCGACGCTCTGCACATCTTTCTGCATTAGTACAGTACCGGAGAAACCGAGCTGCCAGAGTTGTATGCACGTGGTGCGAAATTAAAAAAGCGCAACCTTTCTCGAATCCCGAAAATGACTCGAGTATGTTATGTCGTTCAATCAGTTTTATTTTATTTCTTCTTTGTTTTATTCTTATTTAGCAGCGTCCAGCCGCAAAATGTCTGAGAAAAGCGTATTACAACATGTGTTCGTACTCTGCTTAACTTTTTTCTTTTTCTCTATGCTGCTGATTTATTAACATCAACTTTATCCTGCATGTTTTTCGTAGATTTTATGGTGACTTTACTCTAGACGTCACAGCCAGCTGTGCTTTTGGAAGCAAATTGGGAAATGATTCTGAAGACACATCCAACTTCGTCAGTTCAGCAAAGAACGCGTTTTTTGCGAAGATAACATTCTTCGTGGCCGTTCAAGGTACGCTAATTATCGATACCACTTTGCCTTCTGTTTTATATATGCTCTTGCACGTACAACATTCAAAAGTTATTAACCACTATTTTGAATTTACGTATAGATACAGATATATAAATATACAAAGATAGAGAGAGAGAAAGAGAGAGAGAGATAAAACAGTCGTTGCTTATTTAAGTCCCATGCTATTTCTGAATTCCGGCAGTGACGTGGTAGGCCATTTCAGCTTGCAAATGTCGGAAAGGGCCCGCCTTCCAAGATATTTAGGAAGCCACTCCTCCCCATAGGGATGCGGTACCGTGTATTTTTATTTATTTTTTATTTTTTTTATTTAGCATACTGTTAGCCTGTTAAGGCAGTTACAGGAGTGAAGAAAGCATAAGAGTACAATTGATAACATAAATAAAACACGGACACTATGGCAACTACAATTGAAAACATACACGTAATAGCGTGCGGGAATACAAGAAAAATGTCCCTGCACACACACAGTGGGACAGGTGTTCGATACATTTATAGAGATACACAGCGCTCAACACTGAATTCTTAAATCTTCAAAAAGTCACAAAGCAAGGATGCACACAATATCATCACTCAGGAAAAAAATTGATGACGAGTTAAATTTGATCAAAAAGGTTCAATAGGCCTTTTTTTGAGAAAATCTGTGTATTTGATGTTGTTTATTCTTGAGGTAGGTTGTTCCAGTCTGATATGGTTCTTGGAAGAAAGGAGTATTTATATGTATCATTATTTGCCGTATCTAGTCGGTATTGTTTTAAGTGGTTGCCTCTGAGGGGCCTGCTTTGCCGAGCAACTCTGTAACAACCATATATAATGGTAATGAATGAGATTCACAAGTGCAGCCACAGTAATATTGTGAACGAAAAAGGAAAAAAGCGGTCATTCAATTTATTCTGTGAAAGGTAGGCAAAGGCAAAGAGAGCTGGAGAAACACTGGGCCAGGAGCGGGGTCCGAACCTGCAACCTTCGCCTATCTGGGGCGACGCCATAACCGATTAGACCATCTCGGCCACTGGTTTCGGTGGACTCGATTTTTGACCAGCTCTCTGTGTGCTGTTAATTTCGAATTCGCTAACTGGGTAGACGACAGCCATTGCTGATTTAAGGCACATGTTAGTTCCCACTTGCGGCAGTGACGTGGCACGCATTTCAGCTTCCAAATGTTGAACCGAAAACTGGGAAAGTAATGTCGTATTACAAGAAAATCAAATCGCGAAAAAGAAAAGACAATACTGCCTTGTACCTCAGCGGCGTAGACTTTCCATTTTCCCGGGGGGGGGGGGGGGGGGGGGGGGGGGGGGAAGGGGAAGGGGGGGGGAATTCCATTTCCCATGTATTTGGTCAATAAAGGCAACGTGCGCGTTATTTTGTTTACATGCCGCTACTAGAAGCTCGTTACATGGCACGTAAACAGCCTCTCGGAAAGGATCATGGCCCGGGCCCAAGGGGGGGAAGGGGGGGGGGCTCTGCCCCCCCCTCCGGATTTTATTAGGGAAGGGGGGGGGCACGAGCTTCGTTGCTCCGCTCCCCCCCCCCCCCCCCCCCCCATAGTCTCCATATATGTTCTACCCAGCAAAACAAAACACAAAAAACTAAGCTGTCTTTGTTTTAGTAGGTCGGGGTTCTCATAAACAAGTTGTCAGAAATGCAGTAATTATTTTTTTACGTGTTGTTTTCACTGATCGGAGGAATTGATCAAACAACCTGTCGTGTTTAAAATGCATATAATAATAAATAATAAATATTTTATAGCTCCGATGATATTAATCTGATTTGAATAAAATATATAAAACATATTTTTTTATACATTTTTATCTTTTTTTCTTATATGCCCACAGCAGAGCTACCTGATGTGAAGTGTGTACACTGAGTGACACTGTCACATAAACGAACGATGGTTTTTTTTTTGTTTTGTTTTGTTTGTTTACACTTTAGCGATTTATATCAAAGCTACTAGTTTCTCATTCGGAGCACACTACTTGCTCATTCGGAGCACAATGCTTCGTGACCTAGCCGTAGTGATGGAAGAGAATGCTAACCCCAAATATGCGAAATCATTATCTGAAAAAAAGCGTTATCATTTATTGTTCTGTTCTTTTGTACATAAACAGAAATTGTGGGTATAAATCTAAAGTAGTGATCATGCTTATTTGTGAATGCTCTATCTCCGTACCTCACGCAAGGAAAATTTAGCCTCTAAGAGAATATTTCAAGAATGCACGGGCTTTCTTTAACGGCCAACATTCACTCGCTTCATTTTACAGTCTTCTTTCAACGGTTTATGAAGACCCTTCGGAGAAACATATTCAATATGGATGCGTTTGAGTTCTACAAGGATGCGACGATAAGCATCATTCAGGAGCGGAAGAAAGGAAAGCAGGCAAGGAACCGTGAAACATTGTTTGCCTGGCACGTCAGTGTAGACATCAAACGTTTTGTTTTCGTTTGTGATTTTTAAACATGGCAGGTACACGACGATTTTCTTCAAATGATGCTGAACGCTCAAGACGAAGCGGCTTCAACTGCCTCAGAGATAACCGAATCCAGAGACCAAGAAATCTTCAATGTTGACTCGGAGGGGCAGACCAAAAGATCGACAGCTGTCAAAAGTATGTGTTACCAACGGCTTCTCTGCCCATTGAGTAATTTAAACAAACAACCTTTTTTTCTATTAAATGTTTTTTTTTAATTTACCACAGACTTAACTGAAGAAGAAGCGCTGGCTCAGTGCGTTCTATTCTTTCTCGCTGGTCAAGACACGGCCTCCACACTGGCCTCATTTACTTCGTACATTCTGGCTGTCAATCCTGAAGTACAAGAAAAGCTCAGGAAAGAAGTGGACAACTGCTTTGAAAAACATGTGATTATTCCTAAGTTTAATTTTCCTTGCATGCAGTTTCCATTTTATTCTGAGATGTTGTAGATGTTTGCTAAACTTGTGTTGCAACCATAACTTTGGATGCTTAATCGATGTTTCCTTTCATTATTTCTTGTTATTTAAGCGTACAGAGTAGATTACAGTTGTTTGCGTTTCTTTTTTTGTAATTTTTCGACTAATATGTTCAATATGCACTGATAGGAATAGCTCACACAGCAGATGGATATTCATGAGCCTTTGTGCTATCAAGGAACTAAAATGCGAAGGCTCCATGTTGTAAACGAGAGGCATTATTTTATTACGTCTGTTGAAACATGCCACTGTTTTGTAATACTGCCTCCGCGCCTTTACTTTTTAAGATCTGTGTTCGTTAAACGAAATAGAATCATAATTAAAGACAATACATTGATATCAGATGGAAGCGTCGTAACTAGAGAAGGGCGCGGGAAATGAGACGATAAAAAATTTGTGGAATTTGTTTACAATTCTGGTTTTATAGAAATAAGCTGTCGATGGTGCAAGTGCACTAATGTAAAGTTTGGGTTCGTACGTTTTGGGGAAATAGCTCAACTTACGCGTTTGAAGCATCCTAGAAATCCCAATGTTAGGCTCGTGCGAAACGGTTTTTCCTGTTAAAAACGCGATCAAACTTCGCGACACATCACATTTCTTTATCTCAGTAAAAGGGGCGTACCACAATGTTTGCTCGCGTTTTAAATCGGTAATGAACCACTCTATTGTAATTGTGTGCTTTTTAAATGTTCAATAAGCGTATCTTGAGTTTGCGTCATGAAAACACAATCTCTAGAGAGACCTTTACTGCTCCTTTACATATATTAATATTGTTGTAACGTACTTCTCAAAAAATACTTGTCAAGCGTTCATACTAGATATTTAGGTTCCCATTATGCAAATCGATTTACTCACTTTCAATTCTAGGGAGGTTCACCAACCTACGACGCTATATCAAAGCTCAGCTACCTCAACGGAGTGATCTCAGAAACACTCAGGATGTTTCCTCCAGCCCCACGGTAATATTCAATCTCCGAAGTTCAGCTAAAATTATATACATACGCAAAAAATATCTCGCATTAAAAAAAATAAGATAGCGCGACTTTTTAGCATCGCCATGCGTGATGTTTAAAATAAATATCTACCATTTTCATAACAAACCAAACTAGCGATAATATTTTCCCATTATGCATTCTAGAGTTTATTAAATTCAAGATCTAGACACAAGTACTTTTTACACTCGTTTTTGTGGGATTATTATGTCTTAAAGAACAATAATTTTTTTCATTATTTGAATAAATACGTGATAGACAATTGTTTTGATATATATTTCATTCCTAGCATGCTAGCTTATACATACACTATAAAAGATAATTCAACTTATTAAACAAAATAATATTAAATACAATTAAGGAAGCTCATTTTGCAAAATTCTGAAATTATCATTAATTTATTTTTAATAAATATTAAACAGGACACCGTAGCCTATATTATAAGAACTTTAAGAACACAGACATTTTTCTTCTTTTATTTATTTTTTTTTTGACACAGGCAAGTGGGGAAAACCGGACAACACGTGCTCTGTTCTCCCTAAGAACCTGTCCATTCTGCGTGTGTGCCCCTTGTTGAAATTCTGTTGTAGAAATAGAACAAGTGTAAAAAGCGCAGAAACTGAATTATTTATTCAAATTAATTCATTTGATGATGAAAATGGATTAAGAGTTTATATGTGCGAGTAGGACTACTGTTAACAAGAGAACTAATGCCGGTTACCCGTCGAATATTTTTATTGGTATCGCCGGCAAACATAACAAAATGCTCTCCATTTAAATCGCTAGGAGCTCTAGATAAATGTAAGAAACCGGAGGTGGTTCATGAGGCACTTTCGGGAATATAATTAGACACATTCTACGCCACGACGTAGTACTGGACGTCTACTCAGTTAACATTAACACTTTAAATTGACATTAGCACTTCAAATACACGTCGCGGAACTCTAGCATGAGGCGTTACCTCACTTTGAAATGGCATCCAGGGTAACTGATCTGTATGTATGCTTTATATGGAGTTAAGTAATGGTGCCTTGTAGGGTTCCGTTAAAACGTCTTGCGGAGGAGGAGTGTACAATATAATCCCTTGTCTTATGTCTTTGGAACCTATGAATGCTTGAGGGTTGTACTAAGTTAACAGCAAAATATAGTTTTAGGTTTATCTATTTAATGATTTTATTAACTCGCTTATCTTCAGATTGGAAAGGAGTCCAATGGAGGACTATGTGCTTGGAGAAACAGGAATCAAAGTGCCTAAAGATTGTGTAATAGCCATCCCGGTCTACTCAATGCACCATGATCCGGAGTTTTTCCCTGACCCTCATACATTCAATCCAGAACGGTGAGTAAAAAAACATGATCATTTGTCACGCTCCATTCATTTGTCATCTCACCGTATTTATGCTATTCAAATATTTACATATCATCACGTCTCGATCATCCACAAAAGCTAGGCATTCCTCAATGTAACACTACAACTTCTTATAATTCAGTTATACCACAGACCACGGTTTTATGGAACCACCTTCCAGCGTCTGTGGCATTCATATCCGATTCCATCGCTTTTAAATAATGCCTTAACAGTGTTAACTTTTAGCCTTTCAATATTATTATGTATTTTTTCATTCTTTGGATTGTTGTTTGTTTGCTTTTGATGTCTCCTTGTAACCCACTCCCCTCTGCAATGCCCTCGGGTCCTGGGGGTATTTGAAATAAACAAATAAATAAATAAATAAACTATATCAAAATGTAGGGTTTTCAAACTCAATGAATGCATTGCGAAAATATTTGCTTACATACTTAGAGCGCTGTTCAGTTATACATTCCTAAAATGCACACAATTGAGCTTTGTTCATTCATATTTTAATCACTTGTTTGCTCTGGTACTTCTTGGGTCAATTTTCCCACATAGATCTCGAACAAAAGTCCTGCGTCATATAAAATTTAAGCCCTATTTAGTGTTTAACAAGAAAGAGTGATCTAACGATATGTCTTTCTAAAGGTATACAGAAAAGGATGCTAGTAAGAGACGGCCGATCATAAAATAATAAAACACGATGAGAAAATTCGAGCACGATTTTGGTTTCTTTCAGAAATATGCATAAGCCGTTGAATAAGAACTACCAAGCTGAAGTAATTACCCAAAAAGGTTAAGTTAACGTGTTTTTTTTAATATACTTCTGTGGGAGAATGTGAAGTTAAAGAACAGCATACTTTGGGGGGGGGGGGGGGGGCGGGAACATTTTCATAAACCTATTCCGCCTTTGAGAATAAGAGTAAGCAATCATTCTGCAAAGCTAAACCCCAAAGCCAATAGCGCTAGGTGGCCTTTGTGTTCTTCAAAGCTGCTCGCTCACCTACTGAAGTGTAGGCATTTGTCTTATCCCTATTTTGTGGGATTGCGTTGGGAAAAACCTCGTTAGCCTTCACCTCAGTTCGCTAACTCTGTCACGAACTTGGAGCTACAGTCCTGCGGTTCTGTAGAAGGCCCCGTGGTCGCCGCAAGACTAACCGTGATTGTGCTATTAATTAGGAAACCTACCATTAGTTTAGACAAAAGCTCAACCTTTTCCTTTGGGGTGCTGTTGTATGTGTAGTGCCCTAGCGGTTCTTCCCAGGAGGTCTCGCAACCAACGGAGATTCAAGAGGACTCTCAACCACTAATCTATATGTCTATGCGGAGGGCAAGTCCGTCTGCTTCTTGCGCAGGGGGTAGCGGTGACGTCAGAACGCCGAGCCCTGATTGGCTGATCGCGACCCCCTATCTGAGCGTCGTCTGCTCCTTTGCAACGTCGTCTGCTCGCAACGTCGTCTACGGCTGTCTTACCTTTCCTGCGACTTTCGAAAGCGCAGAGGCCACAGGCCAGATTCACGAAACGATCTTATGCCAAAAATATGCGTAAGACAAAACTTCAAAAACAAAAACAAAACAAAACAAAAACAATCCTACGACAGCTCCGAAGCTGTCTTACGCACTTCTTACGATCAAATCAGCATGGCCGACAGCGTCGCGGTCGCGACGACCAACGGACGTTTATTTTTCTACGTGCGCTTCTCACGCGTCCCGACTTCAAGCAGCAAGAAAAAAGTAAAAAGTACTTGAAACAGACAACGACGAACAAGAACGTTGGATCCACAAACACTCGGGAAAAGCCCCAACGGCCACGATTCCACCGACACCGACCAAGCGAGCTCGGCAGATAGGCCTAGCACGCACCCCGACTCGGCGACCGTCTGCCCACGACCGGCTGGCGTGCTGAATGAAATATGCCCGCGCGACCCTTGTGAACCCTTCCCGTATTATACTTTGACCGCTGACCTCAATTTTAGATTAAGAGGTCAACCTCTTCCTCTTGGCATCTCCTTGTTTTCCAAGGCAACGGTGACTCTCGCCGGTGAAAAAGCGGTGAATCTCCGACATACGCAGGAAAGGTAAAACCGCCATCGCTTTGACTAGCTAACGTAAAGCGGGCGACGTTAACTGCGCCAACCCGCCGATGCCGTTAAAGAGTGAGGAGTCTCGCCACACACGACAGGAGGGAAAAAGTATTTGGGAGGGAACTTGCGGACACTAACACACTCACCTCTCGGTTCTTAGCAAACAAACCTCAGCGCCTCGGGACACCTAGCCAGTGAGTCCTTTGACTTCCCTCCTTGATGCGCGTCGGCTAGTTGTTAGACAAAAACAACGTACCGCTTGAGTTATTTCGTCTGCCCTCTCTGAAAGGCGAAGTCGAGCTCTCTCGTAAAGACCTGCACTTCCGAAAGTCGCAGGAAAGGTAAGACAGACGCAGACGACGTTGCGAGCAAGCGACGTTGCAAAGGAGCAGACGACGCTCAGATAGGGGTCGCGATCAGCCAATCAGGGCTCGGCGTTCTGACGTCACCGCTACTTCCTTTCGCATGCGCAGAAAACGAAAATGAGCCCACTTGCGAGGCGTATTTGCTGGTTCGCGTTGGCCCGCTCCGCGAATGCGGCCACTGGCGGCCATCTTTTTGGTAGAGTTATATTACCTCTAGCCAATGTACAGCTGGTGCAGTCATTATCATCCATCCATGGAAGACAGCGTTGTGGCAAAAAAAGCCGTGGGTTATATTTCGTTCTTGATTGAAATTGTTTGACGAAACATATTGTTGAAACCCGGCGTGAACGGTAGCTCGATCTTTGAAGACGCGGTGAAACTTTCACGAAATCAAAGCACCGGGGAAAAGCAGCACAGCACGCAACGAAAATCGCATCGAAACCAGACGGCGGTACGGCGTCTGCTTTCGAAGCGAGCTGCGATGCTTTCCCCCGGTGCTGCGCTTTCGTAGAACTTTCGCCGGGTCCTCAAAGATGGGGCGACAGTTCAGGCCGGGTTTCAAGAATCTGCTTCGTTGTGAAACTTTAATCAAGCATGAAATATCACCCACGGTACAGTCCACTAGATCCACGGCTATTTTATGGCAACCTGCCGCCATAGCGCTGTCCCCCACATTACAATGATGGCTAGAGATAATATAACTCTACCAAAAAGAATGCCTACCGTGGGCGCATTCATGCCCATAGGCGGAGCTGGTCAAACGCGATCCAGCAAATTGACATAGAGATCAGTGCTCTCAACGTACATAAACACGTGTTTTGTTTGTTCTCGAAGAATGCGAGGAATGCGTGCGTTATAAACAGCTACACCATTACAGTATGCACGTTTATATCATAGTTAAATCTAACTCAAACAAACTAATATCAACAAAAAAGGCAAAATATGCATAGCGAATTGCTGGGCAATTCTGTTGCACGTGTGGCTTTAGTTAAGATTCCACTTGGATTGACGTCTACGCTCTCGGTGATCTGCATCGGTTAGTGTAGCGACTACATCAACACGTAGCATGTACACTCAACAGCAATTCCTGTAATAAAGATGCCAGCGCTAACCCGGGTCTTAAACCCCTGGCGCACTTCCAGAACGTTCCATATCCGCAGACGTTTCTCCGACGACATCCACCCACCGTCTGGCGGGCGAGCGGTGGCGCGTGAGTGATTGACCAATCAGAATCCAATCAGCGTTGAGTGAGCTTTGCCTCGCACTTGACGTTATACATAAACCAGACAATCAGTGTCGAGCTGTGGATGTGACGTCATCACCTGGCTCAGCCAATCAATATCGAGTTAATCGGCGGCTTCACTTTTCGGCTTCACAAATTTCTAGACCCCGTTTTACGGGACAAAAGACGTTTCATGTGAAAACAGATTTTGATAGGGAATGGCGCATGCGTTTAAGGATTGCAAATTGTACGATAGTACAAGACGCATAAAACAGGCGTACGTACGCGGATCGCGTTTAACAGTTCCGATGATTAGAACTTGGAAATATAGAACAAATAAAAAGGCATATAATATACTCTTATCCTCTAGTTCGCCATAGTGTTCGGATCTGTTTAGTTTTTCTTCTTTTTGAAAGAGTAGTTATTAGAGTTGAAAATAGATTCTCATTTCCAATGCTTGATGAATAAATATACGAGTTAAATGTCACACAGCGCCGGGCTTTGCAATCGTGCTTATTGCGCATTCTGCCTACCATTCATTTGCGTACTCAATTAACGATGATATAAGAAATATAGGATTCAGTACGCATAACTATTTATGCGTTCAATACCGGAACCTAAAGGGTCGCGAGATTCGTAATTCATTAAATAATTATCAATTAGTTCCCCGCAGTTCTACAGGATCACAGCTTCAAAAAACAATTTGCTTTAAATAACTATATTTTTTTGGTTAGCCATGCCACGATTTCTTTGTAATAACCTGCCTCTTGCGGCGAAAATACTTGTGAGTAGATATTGAACGCAAATTTCATGCTACATTCAATCTCACGGACAATCACTTTATCTGAGAGGTTAAGGAACCAAAATTGTAAGCCCTCATGAACTACTCTCAAACAGATTATAGTACTTTATTGGCACGGCTTCCGATAACAAAGTGCTGGTTCCGGAGTACTTGACCATGAAGACAACAGAACGCCTTAGACAAAGACAAAAGCATAGAACTATAATGTAACGACGTTATTCCGTATTATATTAAACCCCTAACAAATTCTTGCGGTGCTCTTATATGAGACAAGGATTGTGCGTGCAGGCATGTTGGTAGAAATTTTAGTTATTTTTTTGTACGTGCTTGAACTCTGGTGAAAATCAGGATTCAAGCACTGGGGGTTAAAACTCCTGCAGTGTTTAGCTGCTACATTTGTTCAATATAAATATGGCGAAACTTCTAAAAATTTAATTCATTGTTTTCACTATAAAGGTTACCCTAGTAGCTGTAGCTTATGGGCATGAACTATAGGTGATAAAATCGAAACAAGATTGTGCTTCCGGTGCCAATAACAACTACTCTGGGAAACAAAATAGTAAACGTCAACCAGGTTCCACACTGAACTGTGAATGTTTTTAACTGGACGTGTTTCTCGGCGATCTCAATGATTGACTAATATGCATTCTCCGCAGGTTTATTGACGAAAATGCCAGTTCAATTCTTCCCTACACCTACCTTCCCTTTGGTGCTGGTCCACGAAATTGCATCGGCATGCGGTTTGCCCTGCAAACAGTGAAGACCTGCATCCTGCACGCTGTCCACAACATCGAATTCATACGCACTCCACGAACAAAGGTACTCGTACATTACTGGATGTCGATGTCATTAATTCGAACGCTGCGCCTGTGCGTTTCTACCATCGATTCCTAAAATATTTCCATTATCTCTGCAGGTTCCGCTTGAGTTTCATCCTGGCTTTGGAATTTTAAATCCCAAGGACCTCACCGTAGGACTCCGCCTGAGAAAATTGTAATGACTCTTCTAAAACCAAGAACATGCCCCATGCAGCGCCCCTCAACAAATACCGCCAGAAAAAAATCGACAATAGACTTCTTCCAAAACCGACGGGCCCCATCGCGGCGAAATACCACGCAGTGGACTCTGGCAACTAGTTGGCCACTCAGTTTCGGTTTCGACTGAGGAGCTTCATCTCATGCTATCACGCCGCGACCGAACGCGCTGCTTGCGTTTTCGATTATCTGAATTTTTACGAATGTACAATACACTCATTCTCGAGCGATACAAAACAAAGAGCGGGACACTTTCCTTGGTTCCCGAAACGCCGGATATCGTGCGTGCGTATGCAAACGCAATAAGACGTGACTTAGTCACCTCAACCCACGAGTGATCTTTGAGCTCAGTGTCAAATATCCCGTCTAGTAGCAATGAACTACAACTGGGATTTGGTCACTTTGAGCCTTACACGTATTCTGTTTGCCAAACGTCCGCTTCTTGTTACTTCATTGGGCGAAAAGTAAGATGCATCCTCACAGGAGTATCAAAGTTCAACCCAGCGTCGGCGCATGGACTTTTAAGGGAACGCAATAAATTCGACCTCATTACTGCACAAAAGCTACTGTGATGTTTTCCTCATGTCATCATATATCTTCGACTCAGATTTTATGCTTATAGAAGATTAAGTTTTCGCAAACGCTGAGATCGGCTAGCTACGATGGAGGCCCTAACAAGCGTCCCCTACTCCTCGTTAAGCCTTTTTGAACGAGCTTTTACAGACGCCCGAGATGGGTGCCTGAACGGTGTGCCTGAAATTATCTTGGCATACTCAGTCAGGAAGAAAGCAAACACATAACAAATATTATGGCCATCAGCAACCGTTAATGCGCTTTGGGTAATTTCGTTCGTTTGGCGCACCGCATAGGGTTCATGCCTCGTCCTCGTTCATGACGGGCAGTAAAGACGTGTGTGGAAAGTGCTCCGCCCAGTTTTCTGGGCGGCAACAATTCATCGTCTGTAGTGGCCCCAGCGACCGTCGTTTTCATTGCAAGTGTCTTGATATTCAGGCTGAAGAGTATGACGTCCTCATGAAGTTTGGGAAAAGCTGCTTCAAATGCAGGGATTGTACGAAGCGCCGAAATCCTGCTTCGACAGTTCTTATCGACAACGATGATGGAGCCGGTGCGACGCCCATATCTGCCGGAACCAAGTTGAACATCGGCACCGGGGACTGCGATGGCACCGCGCACGTGGAAGTTTGTACAGAAATCCTGGCCCTACTAACGGAGCCGACATCCAGACTGGATCTTCTGACCTCTCAAATAAGGCTTCTTCGAGCGGATAATAGCGCGCTTACGACGGAAGTCGCCCAACTTCGTGAAGCAGTTGTAAACCAGACTGTCGCTGATGCCATCAAAGATGCGCAATCCCTCGGCTCGCCATCGGCGGTATCGTCATACGCGGAGGCAACCACTTCCGTTGTCATGTCATCGGGACAACGTCGAGATGATCCTGCAAATGCGACTGGTGTGACTGGTGACGTTGTAAATCGAGCATGTCAACCTGTTCCTTTCCACAACGTCCGTCGAGATGCTGCAGATGCGGGAAGCAGAGGAAATCGTCAATTTACCGACAAGGATGGCTACACTCTCGTCAAGAAAAGGAGGGCCAAGCCCACCACGGGAGCCAACACTGAAAGTAAGATCATGTCTGTGTCTCGACCACCGAGGACTAAGTCACTTTTTGTAACTAGACTACACCCCGCAACGACGTCAGATGACCTAACAGAATTACTAACAACGGTACTTGGCAAAAAAACCTGCTGCATGCACGAAGCTACCATCAAAGTTCGATGGCTACGCTTCGTTCCACATCTCTGTTGATTGGGACGATTTTGATAAAATCAACGTGGCAGCAATCTGGCCTGTTGGTTGCCTTTCTAGGTAATTTTTCGGTACACTGGGGAAAAAGACGGAAAGCCATGAGTGAAAAGTGTACATTGTATTACCAAAATGTTCGGGGGCTAACAACGAAAGCAGTTGAATTTATGTCCGAAGTGATTATGTGCCCGTACAGAATAATCTGTCTAACAGAAACGTGGCTTGCTGATGGCATATCGAGCAGTCAGTATTTTCCTCCCAAGTACAATGTGTTTAGGCGCGACCGTGACTATAATTTTACTGGCCAAAGATATGGTGCAGTAGATAACTGCACCATATCTTAACTGCAGTAGATAAAAAGTGAAAGCCGTTTACAACTCCCTGTAACACCGAATTAGAGCGCAGCTCTTGAGGAGGAGGAGGGAAGGGTACTGGGGGGGTTAAGTGACCTTTGTTGGTCACGTGACGATGCCGATGATGTCATCAGTGACGTCACTGATGACGTCATTCGTGATGATGACGATGCCGATGCGGATGCCGGTGGCGTCATCAGTGACGTCACTGATGACGTCATCAGTGATGATGACGATGACGATGAGGATGCCGGTGAGGTCATCAGTGACGATGACGATGCGGACTCCGATGACGTCATCGGCGACGATGACGATGCGGATGTCGGTGACGTCATCAGTGACGTCGCTGACGACGTAATCCGTGATGATGACAATGACGATGCGGATGCCGGTGACGTCATCAGTGACGCCACTGATGACGTCATCAGTGATGATGACGATGCGGATGCCGGTGACGTCATCAGTGACGATGTCATCGGGGAGGTCACGTGACCTCGGCGGGGGGGGGGGGGGTCACGTGACCCTGGGGGTGATCACATGACCTCGGGGGGGGGGGGTGTCACGTGACCTCGGAGGTCACGTGACCTTGGGGGTCACGTGACTTTGAGTGTCACGTGACCTTGGGGTGACCTTGGGCCACGTGATCTTGGTATGACCTTGGGGGGTCGCCTGACCTTGGGATGACCTTGGCTACGCCGACGCCGACGCCGCTCAAGCCGGGAACGGGCCCCTAAGAGCTGCGCTCTAAAAGTTTAAATGTTCACAGAAGGGGCAGTTTGAAAGCGTATTCAGAGTGTGTTAGGCTTGAAATTATGACAAATGATGGATTGAATTACTTGATTGGTAATTATTACTCCCCCCCCCCCCCTATCTGATCAAAGTGTTTTTTGCGAACATCTTAATTTTCTTGGAAGTAAGGTAGATTTTTCTAACTTCAATGTACATATCTATGGTGATTTTAACCTACCGGGGTTCGACTGGGAGACTGGTATTGCGTCAGCGAACAACACGAACACAAAAGTAAAAATAAACTGTCTGCTAGACTTTGTACATTTTAATGGCTTTCAGCAATACAAAAGTGCGCCAAACTGCTCTGGAAATGTATTAGACTTAGCCCTGGCTACGTAAGCAATCGACATTTGCACCGCCGAGGATCCACTCTCGCGCGTGAACGACTACCACAAGCCGGTCGTAGTATCGTTTCATCCCCAAGTTAAAAGGGCATATTTTTATGAGCAGTCGTGGTTTTGTTACCCACAAGACGATTATTACAATCTGTACCGTTATCTTAAAGAGTTTGATTGGAGCATTGTTCTAGGAGATATGTGTGTTGAGTCATGTACCAACAAACTAACGGAAACACATGGGCAAGCTTTAGACACGTATATACCCAAAAACAATTTCTAGAAAAACTAAATATCCTCCGTGGTTTTCGAAGTCACTCAGGCAACGCCTGAGAAGAAAGCTGCATTCTCATCGTCTTTTCAAAAAGACAACACTGCAAAAATTCTATGAAATCTTTAGCCAATCTCGAGCGTTGGCGAAGCAGCTCTATAAGAACGATAAATAAAAGCAGGAAAATGCTGATGAGGAAACACTTCTTAAGCAACCGCATGACCTTTGGAAGTTCGTAAAAAAGATAAATAAAAGCAGTACTTCATCCTCAATTGTACTGCGAGATGACAATGGTTATTGTTCTGAACCAACTTTGGTAGCAAACATGTTTGCGAAGCATTTTAGTGCTTGTTTTTCTGCCGCTGACATACCTTTGACAAGTCCGGACATCAGAGGCGGCGACTTTTGGTCTTGCAACCCGATAACTGAGTGCGAAGTCATGGAGGCTGTTCGAAGGCTAAAGCCGAAGTTATCTGTGGGTGTAGATGGGATCCCGAGTTTTATAGTGAAGGGCTGTGCGGAAACGATTTGTCCCGTTTTACATCACATTTTTAACTTATCTCTGGAATCGGGTGTATTCCCGACAATGTGGAATAGTTTTCTTCTTATTCCAGTGTTTAAGTCGGGTGACCGAAGTAAACTGAACAATTATCGACCTGTGTCACTGCTCTGCACACTGTCAAAAGTTTTCGAAATAATACTACACAACCGTCTATATGCGTATTTTCGTGAGAAAATTGTACCCGAACAGCACGGATTTTCGAAAGGTCATTCGGTGGAGACGAATTTGTGTTCTTTTCTGCATGATGTTGTGCCCATTGTTCATAACCGGGAGGGAGCTGATGTGGTCTACTTTGACATGACGAAGGCATCTGACAAAGTCGATCACCGGCATTTATTGGCAAGTTAGATATGTATGGTTTTTGCCCCAAGTATTGTAATCTTTTTGAGAGTTACTTGTCTAAACGCGAGAACTTGGTACGTGTGTCAAGTTATTTATCGAATCCTTTCTTGGCTACGTTGGGAGTCCCACAGGGAAGCAATCTTGGGCCTCTTCTCTTTTTAATTTTCGTAAATGACCTCACTTCTTGTGTAAAATACTCAAAAATGTTATTTGCCGACGACATAAAATTGTATCGACAGACAAATACTATGGAGGACTGCTTTGGCTTCAGCGTGACGTATGCTCTATTTCTTTGTGGTACTTAAACAATGGCCTTGTATTAAACGAATCGAAAACAAAAATTATTTCTCCCAGCAGGAAACGTGACATTTTGCAATCTTGCTATGCTTTAGACACAACTGTTATCAGTCGTGTGTCTCTGATTAGGGATTTGGGTGTATATTTAGACACTGAAATTTCGTTTAATCACCAGGTCATGAATATTGTAAACTCGTCCCTAAATGTTTTTGGTATCATAACGCGTATATCGAGAAATTTTAGAAATCCACTGTGTTTTTTAATGCTATTTCGCTCTCTTGTGCTAAGCCGCCTCAGGTTTTCTTCAGTTGTATGAAACAGCATTGGAGAATATAACTCATCTAATATTGAGCGAGTGTAAAGAAAATTTATACGTGTCTTTTATGATCGTTACTTGCAGTCCAAGGTATTTTATGAATCTGAGAGAATATGTAAACAAATTGGCTTACGCTCCTTGTGTAACAGGTGAATGACGCGTGATTTCATGTTCTTGCATAAAGTTGTTAATGGTGTTGTTGGCTGCACAGCGTTACTGAACAGTGTATATTTGCGTGTTCCTCAACGGTCTATTCGCATACGCTCATTGTTCTATCCTTCCATTTTACACAATGCTGACCCTATTACCCAACTGCAACTGGTTTTTAACAAATTCAAATCCAACTCAGATGAACTTGGTATTGATATTTTGTATGGGAACGAACATTTAGAAAGTGCATCGATGTCTTCCTTTCGTTCTGACATGTCAACATTTGTTCTTGAGATGCGAATTATTTTTATTTAGACGTAGTG